TTCTCTGGTGGCCGCTTCGGTAAGTTTACAAACTTACAACGCTAAAATTCGGGGCTCGATTCCTCATGGTAGACAGAGTGTAGATAGCCCAATGTGTAGCTTTTCACTAAGAAAACAAAAATTTCCTATCAATAAAAAAATTTCAATTTTTTTAAGTGCGAATCTAAAATATCAAATATCAGTAGAGGCCATTTTCTAAATACAACCTGATTTATCACAGTTTTTGTAGACTATTCAGCAAAGAACTTATCTAATGTTTTGTGCGACAGTTGTATCGTATTTGCCCCCCATTGGCACAGTGGTACGTCTGCGAACTTATACCACTAGAAACCGGGTTTCGATACCCGTGGTGGGCAGAGCACAGATAGCCCTTTTTGTAGCTTTGTGCTTAATAACAACAACATGTATTCTGCCTCACATTTTGTCTGGAGGAAACCCATACTGATGTCACTGGGAGCAGGGACAGTTCCGCTTTCCTGTGCATTTTCTTTGATTAATGTATAATGTAAATATAGTTTTGGGACTCTTCGAACCTCTAGTTTCGGGAAAGAACGAGTGCTTCTGTTCAAGGGTTCAGCATTGATATTACCAAATTGTTTCAGAGTAGCATCCCTTCTGACACGAGCATAGTTTATTACTAAAATCAGTTTTAATTGTTTCTTTTCTAATTAGTTTTGCCGAGAGACATATAGCTCATTGTGTAGCTTTGCGCAAATATCAACAAACAATCAATTTTAAGCCTAACTTCCCACCTGATAAAGAATTTTAAGAGTTTAAAAGCTTGTGGTTAAATGAAAACTTTATTACATGGTTTCTTACAAATTTGTCTGGTCACTTGATGGTAGTAAGTTTTAAGTTACCGAATATGTATGTATTTTCTATGTTGGTAAAACTAAATTTATCTTATTACATATCCCATTTTTATTCTTTCTAAGAGTACACATGTTTTATGTAAACCAGTTGTCCTTTTTATGTTTACATAAGTGTTAAATATTTCATCATCTCGCTTGCAGGAAAACCCAAGTGTAATGGAGCTCACAGACTGTGTACGTCAGCATAGCAACCAATAAAATTTTAGTATGTTGAAGTTGTTGCCACGTAGCACACAAATTGACACAATTGTAAAATTGCAAAGAGAGGCTCAGTGTTAGACTGTAGTTTTTGAATAAGAGGTATGCTTCGTTTATATAGGCTATAAATGTATAAGTAATTTATTTATTTATTTTTTTCATTTCCTCACCTGTTGCCTAATTCTAAAAGTCTGAAATTGAAGTTCAACAATATTTCCTATCCCCAAAAATGGCTGTTGTAATAAATGTTCACAATCGAATTGGATCAACAGAATAAGAATTTAAAAAGCCCACCTTTTCTTCGGTCCTAACAGAAATTTCAGATTCTTCAACCTCGTTTGGTTTATTTTCCAACGTCAGTACTGCTTGTCGAATATCAACTTCGAAGAGAAAGAAGTCTTATAAAGAAGATAAAATGTTAGTAGTAGACCAAGACATCATAGAGCCTAAGTCTGTAGAAAATGCCCAATCCGCTGCTATAACTAGGAAGAGACAGAGACTTGACCATCTTAGCTTCGAAGAAAAAATCATGAGAAGGTAAGCTGCAATTAAAATTTGTTTTAATTTCATCTTCTAACTCTATGGGTTTTCTTATTGATTGATAACTATTAAAATAGTCTATAGAAGAGAAAATATGTTAAGAGACTGTTGCCTATCTCTGTAAGTTGTAACTTGTAAGATAACCCTTCCATCCCTTGAATTTTCCTAGTAGCCCTTTTCTGAGCCCTTTCCAATAAGTCAATATTCTTTCTTACTTAAGGAGACCTAAACTGTACACTGTATTCCAAATGAAGCCTAACTAATGATTAAAGAAATAATTACCTCTTTTGACTTGTAATCAGTATGTTTATAAATACATCAAGGTGCTATTACTATTAGTATTATTAGCTTTACTGTAACATGTAGCAACAGACACTTCTTTGACGGCTCGAATGGTTATTCACCACGATGCAAAGATTCTTTTCTTTCGTCATGCTATGTTGGATGTTTGATCCAAATTATCGTAACCCAAATACATTACCTTGTACTTACTATAATTAAAGTTTATTTGCCAGATATTTGTCCAATTTGTTAATTGATCCATCTTATTCTGTAGCACCTCAACATCCTCAACACAGCTAGAAATATCTAAGAGTTTAATGTCATCAGCAAATTTTATTCATTATTAATTATGCCCCTGTCAAATCAGTAATGTAAATAAAAAAAACAAAATCCCAAGCAGTGACCCCACTAGTAATGTATCAGTTTGACTAGAGATGATAGGTAGCAATTTTAGTTTTTATCTATAGAATTAATTAGTCTTTCTCCAACCCCCATTGATATGGTTTTCTTAGCTTATCTTTTGTGTGACACCTTATCAAAACTTTTTGAATGTCTAAGTACACCATGTTTATACCCTCTCTGTTGTCCAGAAGTAATATCTTCTGAAAAGGTATCAGATTAGAATGGCAAGATTTACTTTTTAGGAATCCATGTTGACTTTCATTTATAATATCATATTTTACTAAATTATTTTATAAAGCTTTAACAGACTAGAATTTTTTCCACTACAAAGGTAAGACTAAGTGGCTTATAATTTCAATTTTCTAGGGCAACCCTGTTTAAAAATAAGTATAATTTTAACAACTTTACAATTCTCAGACATCTGCCATCTCCACTATTTATTGGCATACCAAAAAAAAAAAAAGAAGGGGAGCTTGCATATTTGATTTTTGACTTTCTTTAACTTCTTTGGAGAAAACCTTGCCTGTTTCTGGTGATTTATTTATTTTAACCTCCCAGTTTTTCAATTTACCACCAAGAGATTAATATAAAATCATTTTCCATAAAATGCTGTAGGTCAGAAATTAAAAAAGGAAAAGTAAAGCCAAAAGTGTATATTTTGTCAGTCTTTCTAACTACAGAATCCCCCTCCCCCACTTCAGTTTGGGGAAACTTAATTTGTTCAAGTGACTTACTTGTGAATAATGACTTTCAGTAGAATTACTAGTGTCATAGAAAATGACAGTCATAAACGTTTTTTCCTGTACTCTCTTTATGTTTTATTTGTTTGTGGAAGTATCCTAATATCATAATGTAACAGTTACAAGTCCATCCAATGGCTGGTTAGCATAACTAATTTTATGATACTGGTTGCAGGTGTGTAGTACATACAAGACTTGTTATGTGTTACATACACTGTATGTGTAAATGTGGTTTTTGAAGAAGTTATTTTTTTTTGTAAATGTGATTACTTTTACAGAAAACTAAAAAACAGAGTTGCAGCCCAGTCTGCTAGAGATAGGAAGAAAGCAAGATTAAGTGAGCTTGAAATTGTTGTTAAAGATTTAGAGGAGGAGGTAAGATAGTGATATTTGGTTTGAAAAACCTTAATCAGTTAATTGTAAATTTTTATTTACCATTAATGAGTCAAATTTACTGATTAATTGCATGTAATTGAAGTATATACGGTGTTCCTAATGGACACAAGATGAATAAGCAAGGATTCACCAACTAGAGGATACTTTTTATATATATTTGTGTTATTTTAATTTGGAGAGCAGTATTTGTCATTCTGCAAAATATGTAATAATCTGGAAAGAAAATTATTCCTATCCTATAGTTACATGATCACATTTACTTACAAGACAACACAAGACCAAAACATTTAAACTAGAACAAATTTCAAAATATTAATTTAGGAGTATAATTCTAAGTTCAAAAATGAGAAAGCTAACCTTATCTGCTTTCTTGACTTAAGAGAAAGTTAGCTAACTTATACTAAATTGCAAAAGTGAGTCTAATTGAAAATTACAACCTGGTAAATATATTCAGAATCTATGTGGTTGTCTACATTGATTAGTTTGGAGAAATATGCAACTATCTCCAATGAAAGCCAAATTCATACTCTCTTTAGCTTGAGGACTTCATTAACTGTATCACACACTACCCTTAGCTATTAAAACCATAGAGCAAAGTTAATTAAAGCCACCTAATGATTCTGAGTCAATCAATAGGTTCAGGTTACATCCTGGAACTAATCATGAGGGTCACATGCATAAATCAGCAGTAAAACAAAATCTAGATTTATTGTAAAACATTCACATTGCAACCAAGTAAGCAGAAACCATGATGTAACTTAATGGATAATTGAAAATTACAAAATAAAAATATGGCAACTATTACTTGACAATAATATTATCAACATATAAACATAAGAAAAGCTTTTTATCTAAAATTATATTTACTAGTACATTAAAGTTAACATTTCATCGATAGATAAGAAACTTTAGTAGTCATTGTGGAGACATCAGTTAAATAGTTATCTAAAGTCTTTGATAATTAAAGAGAACAGTTAATTATCTGAACTGTGAACTTTATCATACAAACACAAAACTCCTAGTTTGAAAAATAAGCCTGTTATTTAGTTCAACAGTCTAATTTTTGATGCCTCCATACCCTTATTGACCACATACTTAATCTAAAATACAAAAATTATATCCAGTGTAATGAACAAGAATAATGATAATATTGGTGCCTTTTACACATTTTTCATTAAAACTCTACTTTTAAAAACCTATTACAAAAAAGACGCTACTACACTTCATAGGAATATTATTACAAAACATTACTTTAGTTAACCATTAAAATATAAAAGACGCATCCAATAAAGTCTTTTTTCATTGTAAGAGTATACCACTAGAGGACAGTAAAATACAATTGGTAAAGTTGCTATTATAAATAATATTCCATAAACACCATTTGGAAAATAGGAATTCACCATAATACAGTGAAATTTCATTTGCTTATGTTTATTGAATAATGTTGTGCAATAGTATTTTTAAAATATCTTCAGTGGTAGGTTTCTATTAACATTTCTTTCTCTTATTCTAGAGATGAACATAACATTTAACAAGTAATTTTTTTAGTTGTACATATAATGCTTTGTACAAATTTTCTAAAATTATTATTATAATTTCAAACACTTATGTGTCTGTATTTCTTCATAGAAAGTGACATTATTGTCAGAAAATAAATCATTAAAACAGAAATTAACGCTTCTGGAAAATGAAAACTTGGATCTGAAATCAAGACTGGGCCTTAGACAGGTGAAACTAAAGCAAGAAGATCAGGTAGTAAACTCCAGCATGCTGATATATCTGTCCATAACACAATGCAAACTACTTATATTAGCTCATACTTCTGTTATTTACAGAGGGAATTTTTTTGCAGTTTTAACTGAATTTCAGGTCCAATATTTATCTGTAAATATAGATTAAATTCATTTATTTTTTAATTTAATTTTTAACTAAACATGTTTGAAGATACATGTAACTATGTCTTCCACTTCGTTTCTGTGTTAACTTTTCTCTAGTTGTTTAAATTCTCATAAGACATAAAAAAATTACTTTCATAGTGGCTTTGTATTCATTTCAAATATAAAACCTAAGAAAACCTGATTCTACATTTTAAATATTTTTATTAGCTATAAAGTTTCAGTGTTTTGTTGCAAATTTTAGCATGCTACATGTTACAGCTGGGATATTAGTGGAATTTGTTAATCAATTAATCATCTGGCTCATTAATTGATTATTCTCACATAAGACTTGGGTAGTTGAAATAATTGAAAATAGTAATGATAATAAACATCAAATTTGAGTAGTTGAGTCACTGATCAATTAAACTTAATAACTTTGAATTAATTGAAAGTAATAGATCATATTTTGATTACTTGAATAGGAATAGTGAGAAACACTAACTTCAAGTAGCTAATGTAATCAATGCCCATAGGTAATATGATATGTTGATTAATCAAGTTAATCATCCAGCTCTAACAGATACACATTATACATCAGCACTTCCAGGTGACACCATGCTTATATTACTTTAACAGTATTAATTTCTCTTCTCCCTTTCTTTAATTTAATTATGTTTGGAGACAGTATGTGAAACAAGTCTTAATCGACACAAATCTGCAAGTGAAGTCTTTGATGGGTCTTGTATGTGTTTTAATTATTAAAAAATTAAATCATGCCACAAGTCTAATTAATACCCAGTCACTTCAAAGCAAAATGGATTGCTTTAACTGTGTAAATTTATGCACAATTAAAAGAAGAAAAAAAAAGGTTTGTAAAACAAGCCATGTTTTCTATATTTCATTATTGTGTAAACATTCAAATAATGAACAACTTATCAAATTAATATCTAAGTGCTACAGTCATAAGGCTCTCAGTTTCTAAGATTTAAAAGAATGTTGGTAATGTTACTGATAAGGTTTATTTCCATTCTGATAGTGATGTGACTACCAAAAAATTGATATTCAAGGCAACTTTAAAGTTCAATGTATAAGTCCATTATATTAATTTCAAGACTAACACTTAATTTATATCAGCATAATCGTAATTTTTATTTTGTTCTTTTATACTTGGAAATGTAATGTTGTTTGGCAAGATCTAGTCAAATAAAAACTGATGTTAAAATGAAGGTATGGCTATTGTTTTTATTGTAATTAGTATAAATGTTATAGATATTTTTGGGATTGTTTTAAATGTGAATGTGTGTGACTACTGTATGTATGTATGTATGTCTGTCAAAGACCACTTGTGTGTCTGGTGGATATAGCCTTTTTTTGGGCTATTTTCTACCACAAACGTTATAGTACTTAATTATCATGATGTTGTCACACAAGCTGTGGCAGTGCTCAATCGAAGACAATATAATATTTCAACTTTGAAGTTTCAAGTTCCTTTAACAAAAAGTATTATTAACTTTAATGGGTTAAACTACATTCTAGTTTGCTCTATTTGTCTAATTTAGCAGTAAGTCATAATTTTTGAAGGATCAGATTTAACGAAACTTTGTATATATATTATTATTATTATACTGAGTTCTAGAGTAATATTCATTCACCAACTGTTGAGTCTGGTTCTTGTTATCCCAATCATTTCAGATATTTTCTTTTACTAAAAACTTATCAAATGTGTAACAATTAAATTTTATCTTAAATCAACTTGTAGTGAGTAAAAACTCTCTAGATTTTAAAATATTATTCACCATATTCAGTTTTTTAATCTGAATAAAAATGTTACCAGAAATTTTATTTTATATCAACTTGTAGTGAGGAAATGTCATTGGAATGTAAAGTATTATTCACCAAATTCAGTTTTTTAATCTGAATAAAAATGTTACCAGAAATTTTATTTTATATCAACTTGTAGTGAGGAAATGTCATTGGAATGTAAAGTAT